TAATTAAAGTCTATGAACCAAACACCACTATGAAATCTCCAACATGAAATACTCGTACTCATATCATCATTGAGTCTCAGAATACCAAATCTCTTAAGTGATAACTGAAATATTTACCACTTTTGATGATCGTCAAGATACACAAATTTTCAAGGGGATGATATTTAGGGCTACATATATACTTAATATAAATTAAATATATTTACTAAAAAATGATACAGAGTATAAGTTTGATAATTCATGATAAAAATACGTGTAAATCAATATGATTCATATACAATTATATATACACTTTACATTTCATTCTTTAGCTCTTATGTAGCCGCTATTAGGGTTACTGTAACACTTTCAATTAGCTTGCAATGATTTATATTGATGTTACCTTGTGATCAAATAATTGAATTTTTTTTTTTCTATTATTATTAAAACAACATTAATTATCTCTTTTCTTTTTATAGCTTCAAAAACAAGTTAATCTTACTAAGCACTAAAAAAATACACTTTTTGATCAATCGTAGATAAATCGAATGATACACTTTCTTCAATTATCATTAGAAAAGGTGAGGGTCCAAGGATGTAGTGATCAATTGAGAATCAATTTGTTACTTTTTTATACATTTTTTTTGGTTTCTTTAATAAAATTATCCTTTACTTGAGTTAAACGTATAAGATCAAACATGTCTTTAAGATTCCCACTTCAATTCTTTCTTTTTCATCGATCATCGTTTTCTTTAACCCTTTTTCTAGCTTTTTATATCAACTTTAGTTTATTATCTCTTTGTCACATAGGCCCATTACCCACGAATGTAACTTTCATACATATCTCTTCTTTATTAAACCAAAAACAATTATTGATAGCTCAATATAACAATTAATGTATTTGTGCACACTATTGCTATTTGTAGAATCATGATGACCGTTATTTATACTTTTTTTTTTCCATTTTAAAATAGTTGCAATACTTTAAGTTTAGTTGATGGTTGATACCATGCTTTTAGTTAGATACAAATTAAATAAAAAAAAAACTTTTAAATTATTTTGAGAAAAACTTTTAAATTATTGATACTTAAAAAATGTACATTAATATTAATTAATACAACAAAATTATACATAAACGCAATTGTACAAAATCAAAGTGTAGCAATTATTTTGAATGAATGAATTAATTCATAAAAATTAATCACATCAAATGGATTAGGCTTCGCCAGCAAAACCATAAATTTGTATATGGGCCCAATACAGTAGTGGTATATCAGTATATGGCTCCAACCTTGATATGTCTTAAATCCCAACAAAACTTAGCTTGGCACACAAGACTCGAGAGTAGACTATGTCTTCAATGTGGAAGACCAACAAAAATTTAATCATACTGTAAATGAGTATCAAATAGAATTGGAACTCCCCCGAGTGATGGGGTTTCGATCCTCATCCCCTTCCTGTGATAGAAGATTAGAAAGGGCTCTCTGTATCTTACCGTTAAAATTCAAATAGGAATGAAAAGTGCACAAAATTATCTCAAAACTTCGTTAATTTTAATCTAATTTGTGAACAAGGACATTTATGCATGTTCAATTACCTACACAACACCAAATCATTTTTCATCACCATTATTAATACGGTTTCCTTATTATTAGATTACAACTTTTACTAGCTTACAACAATTCATAACCTTTTTTTTTTTTTTTTTGAGGGGAACAATTCATAACTAATTTAAATTCCCTTTAAAATATTATAATTTTTTATGAAGGGTCTCTTGTTTCATTATTATATATATCTTATAAAGTTAAAACTCTTCACATATAATTGCACGGCACAATTCTCATCACATCACAATACATACTCACGTCATGGCTTATCTTTCGCATGGGAATTTTTTCTTTTTAAATGGTAACCTTAACTTATCATCTTTTAATCTTTTATCTCTTTGTTGTAGCTCCCACAAAAAAATAAAGACAAATAAAAGTTTCGAAGTATTTTCTACCAAGTGACCCCACATTTAATCTGGAAAGTAAGGAATATTATTGGACCTTTTTTTCTTTCTTCAAATAGTATTGAAGTATAATTTAAAAATGTATTTGTATTTATACTAGGTATATGGAGTACTTACTTGTCTTTATACTAGGAAATTGTAATTATACGAAGGTTATAAATTGGCTTTTGAAATTGATCTTCATGAACACTCACTCCTATGAAATAATTTGAAGGCTTTTTTAGACTATTGAAATAATATCAATAAACATTTAAATTTAGTTTTACATTTAATAAAAAATAAAGCATGGCAATACTTCATTCGGAGTATTTTTTATATCATAGAAAGACAATTAATTTATGTTATATCGCAATAAAGAACAAAAATAATCAACATCAATAAGTTAATTTGAAATTTGAAACATCCTTAATTATATTTAACTCATTAATAATAATTTTTTTTTGGGTGCAATTAATAATAAACATCTCAATAGTAAAAATTATGACCTACTAAAGGGAAGCAAAAGAGCACCAACCAACCAACTATGGGAAGGAAGTAAAAAAAAGGGATAAAATAAACAAATTAGCTCTTTATTGATGTCGACTTAACAAAGGCATCTTAGAAACAATTTGATGAAAAAAACAATATTTCATTGAAAACAACCCATAAAGCGATATAAATCACTCGTTCAACCTTTTTATTGGATGGATTCCACTAATTTGACAAGTACACTTCTCAAATGAAACTTCATCACCAATTGATATTTGCTTGAGTGATGTCTAAATTTTAAATTATTGGACAACATCTCTTTACAAATTATGCTTCACAAATCGTATATATGAATTTAGCTCCCATCCAAAAGACTTGGTGATAAGATCCATCCAAAATATATATATATATATATATATATATATATATATATATATATATATATATATATATATATATATATATATATATATATATATATATATATATATAATATATAGTAATACATCGATAAAGCTAGTATTGAAAACAATTCTCATTAATGTTTCAATCTTGATTCTTGACAACTACTCAACTAGCTCGTTCGATCATACAAGTATACTCTATTAAAACGGTGGCTTCTGCTATGTGTGCAGTTATATAAACTTTTATAACATGGTAAATAATAAAATTTAGGTAATATATAAACTTTATATTTAGATTTTGTGTACATTCATTAATTAATCATTCTTAATTATATAGTTGTGACACACGCCTAATCTCTACACCACTGATGTACTGATGTATACATCTACGAAGTTCATTCTAATCAAGTGAATCGACTATTTTAAACTTACAAGAATATGAAATCATAATTGCAAAATAGAAGGAATATACTTGCAAGATCTCATCATTAGGATCCGAATATGAATAAATGAACAAATGTACGTAAGAGATGCATAAACAATAAACGGGTGAGCTTTTGTTGCTGGTTTAATGGCATGGTAGGTGCTGACTTTGGTGTTTACTTAAATAGTAACGGTTTTATACAACAAAACTATATAGTATGTCATATAAATACGAGTATTAGCCAAATCTAACCATATACTTCCTCCGTTTTTTAAATATTACACCACTTATCTTTTAAGGAAGTTTCACATTTATTGCACCATATTCATTTTAGGAAAAGAAATTTATGTGTTCACACTATAAATACCTAATATACCCTTGCTTTTCAACCCTTACTTTTATTTTGTACATACAATCACATGGGCAACTTGGTATTTCTACCTTTCTCTCTCATCCTTTTTTCCACTACCAAAAAATTTGTGTCAAACTCTTATGGTGCAATAATAAAAGAATGGAGGAAGTATTATAAACAATAACATAGCAATTTAGCAAACTAAGTATGACTCGTTGAGTCAGAATTAACGCGTTACACGAGCAACGACGCGGCGTGACCGTCAAATTGCTGTATCTTTTAATCTGTTGCCCTCAAACGTTGCTTAATTTCTTTCTATTTTGGGTGATGGTAGCTAGCTATTTTGAGTAGTATCTTTTTGCCTTTTGAATTATCATTACTATTAATGATCAACATTGAAGAACTAGTAATAATAATAATAATAATAATAATAGTCAATCGATGGCCTCAAAAACAATAGAATATTATCCAATGCGTTCATATATATACAACTATCAAAATGGTACTTGAGGATATAAACATCATTTCAATATTTTAAAGGTAAAAGTGCATCAATAATAATAGTAATAATGTTACGAGTATTTTAGACCATTTATAGTATACGAGGAAAGTTATATATTATTGTCAACCCATCTGAAAAATCTTTGATTTTAAATCGAACGACTAAAAAATTTTCAAATATATATACATCATAATCTATATCGCTATAATTTACAATATATACCTTAAAAAAGCATTGTGTACGTTTATTTAATTTTGTTTTTCGGATTTAATTCCTCATTAAATTAACATCAAAGAAAACCAATCGTCAATTTTAAATACGGAGTACAATTCAATATAATGCAACCTTTGTAAATCATTACACCGTATAACCGTATTATAGGGTTGAGTATTCTATTTAAAATACTCCAATAAATTACAATTCATCATTTATAAAGTCCAATACAACATTATTCCATATCATTCATCGTACCTTGATTAACATAACACTAATAAAATCTCATCCAAAGCATTAAACACCGTTATAATATCTCACTCACAACATAAGTTATTGTAAATCCATGTCGTTAAAAAAAATTGATGATGCATGAATATACACATGCTTACGTACACCCCTCGTCATACAATACATCAAGTTACCCTAAATTAGATATAAACATACACCACCCCAATTAATTACTACACTTAATTACCAATTTCAAAGCAAAAAAAATTAAATTAAAAAATAAGCATAGGTTAAATTAAAATTATAAAGATCAATCTAATTAGTTGTACGGACCACGAAAGCAGACTACGTGTCCCGAGGAACGCGGTTACATGAGCCCCACACCCTCAATCACCGTCCTATTTATTCCCCTCTTCCGTAACTTCTCTCCCCTCTTCATTTCTTTCTTTCAAACAAAAATAATCTCACTTTCTCTCTCTTCTTTCTCTCACTTCACTATTTGACTTTTTTTTTTTACCTATCTAAACTAACCCAACTTAAGTGTTCATCCATATCCATCCATCCATCATTCGCGGATTATGGCTGCTTCGGATAGTATGATCGCGGCCTCAAGAGACGAGTCGTGGGCGTTTCGAACGTCCTTCGACAGCGCTTGGATCTCCGAGGCGTTTGCGAGGGACGCTGAGGTTCTCACCAGAGCATTCCACAAATCCATCTGTAATAATAATAATATTAATACCAACACTTACTTCGACAATGGTGGTGCTGACGACGTTTCGTTCGCGGACCTTCTCAAGTCCGAAACGCCGTCTTCTCATCAACAAACACAAACACAGACACAAACACAAAGCGTTTCGAGCTCGGGAGGAGGGTCCGAGCCTGAAACCGTTTCGAAACGGAGCACGTTTCGAAACGCTGCGGCTCCGACTGGGAAGATTACGAAACGGAAGTCGCGTGCATCGAAACGTTCTCCGACGACGTTTATTACAGCTGATCCGGAGAATTTTCGGCAGATGGTTCAGCAAGTGACAGGTGTCCGGTTTTCTACCGGTTCATCTGTGCTTAAACCGGAACCTCAGAGACCGGTTGGAGTGGTTAACCGGTTACAAACCGGTTGTCTTTTGCCTACGCTTGATACGTCAGCGTTTTTGTTGGATCATCAGCAACAGGTTGGAGGCCCAACAAGTATGGAGTTTGGGCCGCCTGCTGTGGTGGGCCAAGCTGGTGGGCCTGGGTTTGATTTTGATGGGTTTTCTGGGTTCCCAACTTTGGAATCTCAAGCATGGATTAATTGATGAAAAGAAAAGAGAAAAAAAATAAATAAATAATGACGTAGTTAGGTATTTCAGTTTTATGAAGTTTTTTTGTTTTTTTTTTTTTTTTTTTTTGGGATCTCTTTATTTAAAAATGCACCCTTTTAATGGGAGTTTTTTAGAGGGGTATTTTAGAGAAGAATGGTGGGGTTTTGTTAATATTTTTGGAGTTAATGGTGTTTTTTTAGTTTATGAAGCTAAAGTGTAATGTAGTTTTAATCTATGGATCTTCTCAAATCTTTTAATTCAAGTAGTTATTAACTTATTATATTGATACTTGCTACTGTTATTTTATTTATAAATTTTAAGGTATCTGCATGCCTATATTCAGTATACATATGGCATAGTTGATTCATATAGAGGTTTAGAGCTAGTTATTTATACCAATAATAATTCTATAATATTATATTTGAAATTTAAATGGTTTTAATGAGATATTTTAACGAGTTACGGACAAATATTGAACTGACCAATCAATATGATTTGAAATTGAACTAAGCCTTAATAGTTGGTATAATATAATTCTATAATATTATATTTGATTGCTACTCAAATTGACCACTAAAATCTAACGAGTAGGATGGGATGTATCAATCTATCTAATGAAAACGAAATGTGTATTGAATGTACGATTAAGCTTTACAGTATCACATTTCAATGTTCATTACTGAAGGGGAAAACAAATCTTAACTTGAGATGCGTTTCTTTTACCTATTTATGGTAACTAAAAAGGCGAATTATTATTTTAACCTATCAGACCCGCTAATTCTACTGTTGTGGTAATAATGATAGGGTATCGATCAAGGCATCAATTACGTCATTACTCATGTAAGTCATAGTCTTAAGTAGTTATTATCAGTCTAATTAAATTTACCATGCTTTCGAATTGAATATATTTTATCGAAAGTTATACAAGGTTTTTTAAGGTAGGACACATTATCAATTAAGATCCGGCAGCTAACATAATATATTATATTAAGTAAATAATAAATATACATGTTAATTTTCTCATTGAATATTTATTTTCTATGGTAGTTATAAAAAAAAATTAGATGAAATCATCTAAGGTAGCAAAAAGAGTTAATCAAAATTCAGGGCCTGTTCTCTTACATTGAAATTCAGTTCACTTCAGCTCAGTTCAGTTGAGTTCAGTCAATGAGAACAGACCCATTTTATTTTCCAAAATTGTTACTCTATGTTTCTTTTTCCCCTTGCATAATGATTGGCACACACGTAACACCAATCAAGGTGTGCATTCGAGCTAAATAAGCTAATTATGATACTTTTTTTATGATAAGATAGTGCAAAATAAATATTTTTTTTTTGCCAAATTAAAGTTTTAAGCTAAGATTGCCTAGGGTTAAATCAATGGATAATATATGCCAATAATGCCATATGTAGTGATTTAATAGGTAAATGGTACTGTATTTTTGGCGCCAAAAATCAGAAAAAAAATGACATTCATGAACTTCTTTTCATTTGGCATCTTCTTTATTTATTCCTTTTCACTCTTTATCTTTCTACACTCCTAATAATCCAACATCTTGGATTTTTTTAACCTTGATTTTTATTTTTTTTTTTTTTATAATGCATGTCAATTTTCTCCTGTTTTTGTCCTTAAAGAATTAATAATCAATTAGGAGTACTTGGTATTTGGGTGTGAAATAACATAAGACAATCGAGGTTTATTGTATTCTTATTTTCAAAAGACATAATTGTTAAGAAGAAAGATTCTAAAAGGCAAAAATCGTATTGGTTAATTTGGCGAAACTTTAATTGGAAAATCTTTGATGTTGTTCATTATTAGCTAGGTGAAGCTTCCCATTTAAAGACAGCTAGATTGTCCTTGCACAACATTAATCATCCTAAGATTTTTATTTATTTTTTTAGATTTCCCTATTACCATCATGTAAATCATGACTTTATCATTCAAGCATGTAATCATGCAATCATAAGATTCACAAAGTCACACAAAACTTACCAAACAATAGAACAAAAACTTTAATATATTAAAACTGAAAATAACGTTGTTATTTTTATTGTAAAGATTTGTTCTAATTTACAGAACTGAACTTATTGAAGTTGAGCTGAGCTGAGCTTAATAGAGCTGCACAGAACAGAACTAAATTAAAAATAATTGTATCAGAACAGACCCTAAGTTTGTGATACCATATTTGTAACACCATAATCCAAATTTTTAATTACATATTATTCGTAAATCATAGTAATAGTTTTATTCTATTGTAATGAGGCATACCCATATTAAAAATTCAATTTATGTGAACCGTATACCAAAATTAGTATTAATCCTACAAAGAGTTGACTTGACTATTATAAATTAATTAGTTGATTGTAATTAACTCATAACATGAAAGCATAGGATGACGTGGCTTGGTCAGCACCGTGGTGGCCTGGTGGGTAGCTCGTGATCAACTACAAGATATTCTCCTCTCACACCAAGTATACAAAATATTTGTTGAAAAGAAAAAAAAATGCTTTAAAGTCTTAATTCAAGTCAAAAAGGAGAATTTAATATAAATTGATAAATACTCCATAATAAATATGAATATAATCTGATAATGTTAGGTATTGACAGGGTCAGTTGACTTGAGTCTCGATCTAGATTTCCTTAACCTTTGACATGTTCTATTATATACAAAGTAAGTATGCAATAAGTATTTTATTATGATTAACCCTAGGATTATTTTTTTTTCGTTAACTAAATTAAATTAAAAGTCTATTCCATTTATCAAGAATACGCATGAGATCGAATTGCACATATCGAAACATGGTAAGTATTTCATGAGCTAACAATAATATACATGTTTAAGAATTTAAACTAGCTTGAATATTCGGCTAATTCATATATTTTTAATTTATACAATAATATACGGAGTACATATTTAAGAATTTACACTAGCTCGAGTATTCGACTAATCCATATATTTTTAATTTATTTTGAGTATAAAGAAATAATATATATTGCGTATAAAACAAACTAAACAAATTAAAACATTAATATTTTAATTCTTCAAAAAAAAAAAGGTACTCAATATTTAGAATTACTTCACACATGTAAATGGAGCTTTTGCAAGACAAGCACATATACATTATTGTGTACTTCATTTATGTGCAGAGTCATTTATAGGTTGACACGTATAAAGCACATGCGATATTTATGTAGATAATGAGATGAAATTAAGAGAATATGAGATAAGCAAAATTTGCTTTGATTAATTTGACATATTTTGTTTATTGACTAGTCTTTTTCTTTTCTTTTTTTTCTTTTTTTTTTTTTGAAGGGAATTGTTTATTGACCAGTTGAATACTTGAATAGCTTAACGTACACAATTTCAATATTGCTTAGCTATTTTACAAGATATAGATTACTAAGATTAGGCTACTACATCCAATTGATTATTCCTATTTCCAAATTTCCATATACTACTTGTAGTATTTTAGTGCAAGTCAATAAAAATGGATGGTCAGTTATAATTATCTGATAAAGAATAATTTTGCAAGAATTAGACTGTCGTTGTTCATTGCTCTTGACTTTATTTGCTTTAATTTCATACATCAAGTAGCTAGCTTAATTAGTAGTGTTTGGTTTTTTTTGGTTTTTTTTTTTTTTTTTTTTTTAGGGGATGGTACAATAATGGTACAAAATAATTGTACCAATTCAAACATAGAATGGCGTGTTAGAAGAAAAAGGTTGGATCATTTATGAATCATACCTCTCTTCTGCATGTTATACCCTTGTGGCTTATATGTATGGCAACAATTTTGCTTGAGAATTATATTATTGTTTTATATTGAAATACTACCTTGGTTTTATATTTTTTTGCAACTTTGGGTATTATTCGTGACTCGTGAGATACTACGTATAAAATATTTTAAAGTTGTAAAAAATATATAACGGAGGTGATATAACAATTCAAAGATGAAAGTCTTGTGAGAAAATTCGAACTTCCAATGCCTAGCTATTGATTTAATTTGGTTAGTTCAAGAAAGGTGATTTAATTAGAAATTCCCATACTAGACTTTTTTTAACATCACCAACTCCATTGCCTGCCTGCCTTGAGCAGAAGGAAAGTGTTTAATGCTTTAATTTATTATAATGTTGTGATAAGAATAGTTTGTATTGATGAGATGAGTTGAGACTGACTTGACCCAAATTCAATATTAAAGGCTTGATTCTATCAACCTTAGGCTTAATTATTATTTTCAGTTTTGTTTTAATACTCCTTAATATTCAATAGGAACATAAAATTAATATTCAGCTTTAATTTCTAAAAAAATATGGAGTACGAGTAATATTTTAGTCTTGTGAATTTATTATTCACTGAAAAAATATAATCTGATATGTAACAATAATAATAAAAATAAAAATAAAAAACACCTTAATTAAACCGATTTCAATCACCATAAACAAAAAGCTTTAGGCAGTAAAAATTGTATTTTATCAATGTTGAACATTCTCATTATTCAAAATAATTTAATTAAATTCAAAGAAAGTCAAACGAATTAAATCGGACATAAAACTAGACTCCATTTCTTGATTCAAAAACGAATAAGTAAAAGACGGGTACTGCTATATGTAGCCCTAAAAGGATATATATAAGCATCAAATACATTCTTGAAAATTGTATAAAATTAGAAATCATGATTAAAAATACGCGTTAATCAGTGTAATTAGTGATTATATTTTTATGATTTCTTAATTTTTTATGATTTTCAAGTGTAAATTTAATGATTATATGTAGCTCTAAGGAATATATATACTAGCATTTTCCTTAAAAAACAAAGTACTTTACGTCCTTACAGAGTACTCCCTCCGTCACTTAATACAATGTCTCTTTCTCTTTATTATGTGAGGAATAAATGCTCAAAAGAGGCATTGTATTAAAGAACGGGGGGAATATTATTTTTGCCCCATGCCCCCATAGTCAGTATTTAGGCTAATTTGACAAAATTCGGCTATTAATTTAGGGAAAAGCTAATGAGTGCCCCCGGGGCGTTAGATAAGGGAATTAAAAGTGGGAATATTAAAGTAAAATTAACATTAATTACACCGAACGACGCGTGATTTTGTCATGCATTCCTAACTTAATATCATTTCAACCAATATAATTATTCCTTATTTAATGCCCCGGGGCGCTCGTTAGCAAGATCGATTAATTTATTCTGTAAGAGTCAATATAATTATGCAGGATCTTATTATTCTAGAATTTCTCAATTTAAATTACGGAGTAGAATAAAAATACACTAAAATTTAGAGTAAGAAATAATAAAGGCCTACATCCTTAGAATGATCAATGGTTTGATTGATACCAAA